TCTTCTCCACCTCTATTGCCACCACCCTTGTCTACCTGCCTTCTTAATACCTCCACTTGAGTGTCTTCACTAGCTAAGAAAAAGCCCTTAACATGTGCAAGATTTTGTGTGGCCTGGCCCCTACCAGCCTCTTCAGCTATCCATTTCACTCTCTATGCTCCAGCTACAATGGACCAATCTTCATTTCTCTGATCATGCCTGCTGACTCCAATGTCAGGGCCTTTGCCCATGCTTTTCCCTCTGTCTGTAAAGTTCTTTATTAATACTCATCCTTCCAGTCTCAGCTTAATATCACTTCCTCAGGGACACTCTCCCTGATCCCTAGAGAAGATTAAATAATCCATGTTACAGACCAAACCAGCAGTCTGTCCTTATCAGGAGTCTTATAATTACTGTTTAACATCTGTGTTCCCTGCCAGAATAGAGGCCCCATAAAGGCAAGGCTTACATCTGTCTTGTTCATCATCATGGATCATAGCATAGCAACTGGTACACTTAGGTACTCCTCAAATATATGTGAAATAAACGAGTGAACGGCATGCTATGGTAGTCAGCTTAAAATCCATCTACTTGATTTTGTTTAAAACGATAAACCAAGATAAAGTGAGGCAATCAATGAAATAAACTTACTAAATTTACAAAATTCTTATCCAGAAAAGATCTCAAAGAATAATATCTAAAGTTGTAAGCTTGTTAGTCCCATGTTCAAAAAATATTCAGTAGCTCTACATTGCCTATAGAATATAGTTCTAACACCTTAGGAACTATTTAAGGATTTAAGAATCAACATGACCCTGGCCCCAACCTAGAATTTTCATCTCAGCTTTATTTCCTGCTCTTTCCTCTCACAAAATCTTTGCTAAATTAGTGGTTTTCTATTCCATTCTGTAGTTTCCTAGAGAGTCCATATAGTTCCCTGGAAGGGAAGGAGATGTAGATTGAACAAGTCTCCCACCTATCGCCTCCCCTAAATAAAAATAGCTTCAGTTGTATCTATTTTACTTATGGAACTTTTTGAATAAATAGTTCTGCTAAATTGGGTTTGAAAACATTTACTAGATCTGCACAGCCCAGCCACGTGAGGTTTTGTATAGAGAGCACCAATACAGAAAGCAAACAGAAGGAGAGCTGTCCTGGCTGAAGTGGAGACACTCAACTGCTCAGTCTTCCCCTTCCACCTCCCCATAATTCCCCACCTAGGTCCTGCTCAGGTACCCTGAGGCTCTGAAGAACACATAAAACAACTGCTCTAGGCAAAATAGGCACCTAGACTTGTCCCTGGAAATTTCTGCCATTGAGTCGTAAGTCTTAGTTCATATTTTTTTCTTCAGCTTGGGACGTCAACAAACTAAAATTCCATGAAAAGAAGAATTTATTCCATGGCAGTGCCTTGAAGAATACTGGGTACACACTAAGAACTCAATAAATACATGCTGAATGAATGATACTTTTCCTCTTGAGCTTCTGTCACAGTCATTCTTCAGTGTCAATGCAAATAGCATCTTCTTTAAAAAATCTTCCACAATCCTGCTACACAGAATTAAATTATGTGTCCTACAAATGTTAGGCAGTAGGCCAGACACTGGGGATACAGAACTTAAGACAGAGTCCCTGCCCTTGAAGGATCTCATTCTGGAACTCTTATATCTATACTATAGTCCTTATGCTAATCTACCTGATATTCATTTATTCATTCAACAACGATGTGAATACCTATCACATAACAAACACAGAACCTGTATGTCCTATTCTGTTATTTCTCTTCTAACTACCACAAAGACTAGACTTTATAATTCTTGAAACACATTTAAAATAATTATAGAAAAATTCTTGTAAAAAATTTTACTTCTTTACATTCTAAGATAAATATTAGGAACCAGAATCATGTTTCCTAACTACTTTTTATTCACCCATTAATTACAAAACAGGATTCCTATATAAACTGACTCATATATGTTAAAAAAAGTTTAAAGATTTCTCAGTTACACAAATAAATGGTAATACTGCATAATGAAATATTACTAAAAAGCATTGTAAAATGTAAAATGCACCTACCCTTTGACCCAGCAGTCCTACTTTTGAGACTCAATCCTAAACACAAACATACATGCACATAGAAGGATGTATGCATATCTCCTGGCCTCGAGGTTAGTGGAATGAGAATACCATGAAGTAAAAAGAGAAATATGCAGAGAAATACATATAGTATGATTCTATTTTGTTGTTACAAAAAGGGAAAAAATATAGAGAGTGTATAATTATATAAACACAAACAAAGGAGTCGAAGCACACAACCAAACTATTAACACTGGTTACTCCACAGTATAGAATAGGATAAAGAGAAAGAGAGACAACTACTTTCCATATATTCCTCTATGTTGTTTGATGTAAGTGCATATATCATTTTTGTTTTTAAAATATGAAAAGTTTATTCTTTTAAGTGTATAAAAAAGGCTTTTTATGGCTGGCCCAGTGGCACAGTGGTTAAGTTCATATGCTCTACTGCAGCAGCCCGGGGTTCACGGGTTCAAATCCTGGGCATGGACCTACACGCTGCTCATCAAACCATGCTGTGGGGGGATCCCACATGCAAAAATAGAGGAAGATCGGCACAGATGTTAGCTCAGCGACAATCTTCCTCAAGCAAAAAAAAAAAAAAAAAGGCTTTTCCCTGTGCTTTGGTTCTAACTATGGCCATTCCCCAAGCTCTGAACGTTTGACATACAATCATCCTACAGATATATACCACTGTGCTATACCAAGTGATTGAAGGGAAAAAGGAAGAAGGGCAGAGGTTGTGCATTAGTGACTACTTCTCTTCTCACCAAGAGGCTTCATATGGTGAGGGGTGGGGAGTAAAGGAGAAGAGCATTGTTGAGAAGAGGGCATTTAACACAACAGAACAATTTTAATATGAAATAATAAAACAATGTGAAAATGGAAATGATTGGCAGGTTCCCAAGCTTCTTGGAAAAAAAAAAAGAGACCAATTAACCCATAATGTGTTTGACATACTACATGTTTCCAAAAATGTAGTTTTTTTCCTTTGGACAGTATTACAGTTCTAAGTCAAATTCCACGTACTAAATTTCCTTTAGGAACTACACTTTATCAATAACACCACCAAACATTCTAAAAGCCTTAAATCACAAGGTAGAGCACTCCAGAACAAGCACTGTTTCATCTGCTTCCAAACACTGTGCAATAAGCTGTCTTATATCCACTATTGTCAGGGAATGGGATGACTGCTACTATTCCCAACACCCTGATACCTGTATAGCACTTCACAGTTTACGAAGCTCTTTGGTACACATGAATCAAATGCTCCAGCTAAGAGAGAGCATAAAAATAAAGTAAATACACCTATCATAATAAACATATGCAACAATTTAATGTTTGATGAATAAAAAGGTGGCAGAGCATGAACTTGAAATGAATGCTTATCAGTTAAAATAGTATAGTGGATACCTAAATATTTTCATAAGTAGAAAACTGCAGCTGAGAAACTGCCACAAAACCAAAAGTTTATTGTAACTTTTCTAAGCAAAGGTCAATTTCTTTGAACAAAGTTTACCCCAGTGGACTATGACTGATTGTTAAGAAGTAATCCACTCACAACTTTTTTTTTTGTACATCAATAACAAACATGGGAAAATATGGGCTATAATCCTTGACAAATTATTTCTTACACCTCTTCTTCCCCAAAGAGGGAAAAAAAACCACTAGGTAAATACAGTTTCACATCATGCAGTGATGATTTTGCAAAAAGGATTTAGGATTCATATAACTATATACAGACTATCAAAGTATGGAAACTGAAAAATCTAATTTAAAAACATCTGACAAGGTACTCAAAATAACACATATACCAATGTGGCAAACACTAAAAATGAAAGATATATATCCATTTACTTCCAGATACACCAAAGATAAACAAATTTTACAATGCTTTCTACCTCTGGTAGATATTTTACATAGATTAAGTAAAACTTTTCCAGGAAAACACTTCATATACATGAAGCCAGTAAGATGTACTTTCAGCTATTTAGGAAAGTCCAATACAGAGAAGGGAATGAAGAATGGGTCAATTCACAAAGAAACAACAAGACATCATAAATCATTTAAAATTAATAAGAACTAAAATTCAAGTATAAGACTCAAATGAGGTAAAGTGATAACTAGAAAAGGCCACATAAAGCAAATCCATTTAAAACAGAGACAAATTTCATAATAAAGAGTGGGAATAAAAAGTTTGACTGGGACATTCTCTTTAAAAAAAATTTTAAAGTTTTTTTTTAATCTTATATGTAATAAAATTTAGGTTATAATGATAACTATATGCTTATTCTTAGAACATAAAAAGAAAAAAACAAGTGAATCAAATGTTGCTTTTGTGGCAAAAATTTTTCCAACAAATTGAATAGGCCAATTCAAAATCATTTGATTTTCACAGTGCAATCACAAAAAAGGTTTTCTGTTTTTTGGGGTTTTTTAATTTTTTCAAAACACTCAAAGGCTACATCAAGCTTCCCAAATGCCTGTCTTAATATTTTAATCTTCAAATCATTTTCTTTTTAAATGCCTCTAACTCAAAGTCACCCTCATTGGTCTTTTTCTTCTTTACTTTTTAACTGGTCCATTGGGTATCGTAACATCCAAAAATCATCTAGGAAGCTTAACACACAAACAAAGTACCCAGATAGATGCACAAGCTAAGTGAAGAGGGGTTTTTAAATGGGGACTAGTTTTATAAGTGGTACATTAGTGAATATTTTGCTTTCCTACACAATTCCTCCTGCAACCTCATAATTACAGGGACTTAATTACATAATTACAGGGACTTAATTGAATAATGAATTCTCAGCTAATGAGAACTCCCTATCTGCGTACTTATATTACCTGTTTATATAACAAGAGGGGATATACATCTTGGTCTGAATATCTTAGGATGGATAAAATAGATCTATAAAGGATTTTTTTAATGCAATATAATACCGTACCAAGGTTGTAAGGGAGTTCCTTTTCATATAGAGTCTCTCCAAGTACTGTAGTCCCTCATCTTTCAGTAACTCCAATGGGAAATGGTGCAGATTCCTATAATTTAAGAACAAATTTTTGTGCTTTTCCAGCCTTGCCACAGAGATCGTCTTACAAAGTTCGGATGCCATGACTGAACATATCCCATCGGGCACGCTGCAGCACTACATCTTGTCAAAATTGGTCCATTTCTAAAGAGAATAAGAAAATTGAATAATTATAATACTGCTTACAAGCATTGCCAAAAAACCAGCTAGTATATAGAGCAATTTCAAATACTAAAAGGAGAGTTATACATTCAATCCCTGTTTTTCTTTCATAACTAAATTTGTCACACATATTTAGAAGGATATTAAAATGAATAACTACTTAATAAAAATACTCTCACTTTTAAGCAATTTCCTACTTAGTAGAAACAGTCCCAATTGAAAAAATAGTTCTTGGACTCCAGATAGGAATCCCTGTCTAAGAGAACAGAGACCAGTTTCATAACATACAACCACAGAAAAAGCTTAAAAATCAGATATAGTAAAGCCATTTCCTTCTTGAGCTACCTCATTCTGTATTTAGCCTAAGGTATTTCAAAAATATTTGAATATTTACATAAAATATATCTAGATCACTTACAACCTCACTTTCTTCACTTCCTACTATATAAATAATATTGTCCTATATACTAATTTTTTCTATATTTTATCTCTTTATTCTTTTCTTTCTTTCTTCTCAGTTTTGCAGATTATCAGACATAGCAAAGAAACAGATCCAGGAACACACTGTTTTATTTTATTATTTCAGTGAAACACTGCACGAGGAAATTAACAACCCTGTATTATTCTATTACAATCTCTCTGGGCTTCAGTTGCCTAACATAAAATGGAGACAGCAATTTATTGGTAAAGGCCTGAACCCAGAACAGATTAAATTCCCTTCTAGCTCCAAAACTGACAAGGGTAGGAAGAGAAATAACACTTGCCATCTTATCAACTACGCACAGGGCAGAAACAAACTTCACAATCACTTAAGACTGGAAGAAACAAACTCAGAGCTCCAATAATTTGTCCAAGGCTGAAGAGCTCATAAGAGATAAAAGCAGGGACTGGGGCGGTGCGGGGGCGGGGTGGGCGGCCCGGTGGAGGAGCACTTAAGTGCATGCGCTCCACTTTAGCAGCCCGGGGTTCACCTGCTTGGATTCTGGGCGCGCACTGACACACCGCTTGTCAAGCCATGCTGTGGCGGCATCTCATATAAAGTAGAGGAAGATGGGCATGGATGTCAGCCCGGGACCAATCTTCCTTAGCAAAAAAGAGGAGGATTGGCATTGGATGTTAGCTCAGGGCTGATTTTCCTCACAAAAAAAAAACGCAGGGATTGGGGTGGGGTGGGGCTCGTGGATTTCAAAGCCTGGGTTGTTTACCTACATACACTCACAGGATTCTACAGGATACTAAGGAAATGCTAAAATGACTAAAAAGAAGTTGAGCTTTGTTCCAAGGGTCTACTCTCTGTTTTCCTGGGCACCCTTTTCTAAACTCTTTAATGGAAAACACCTTTCAAAGAAAATTTTTTTCTTAAGAAAAACTATTTTCACTGGGAATTAACACCAAGTTAGTGCAAAATATAGTAACAAACTTTTAGTAAGCAGAGTTTTGTAACTTTTTGGTTATTTTATATTATTTTCAAACTTCAATTCCTAGTTAATAAGAGAGCACTTGCCATTTTATATAAAAGGCAGAGAATATGGAATATTCAATAATATCCCCAATGCAACATGAGAATCCAATACATTCCTATATTTATTCCACCCACTCACTTACCTATATTTACGAGACATATTATGTGACTGAGCAAGATACTCAATCTTTCTCCATCTTAATTCTCTCACCTGTAAGCAAGGGGAACTAGACTAAATAACATCAATGATTCTGTGTGGAAAGGGAAGCTTAATAGGTAATTATTCACAGAACTAGCAAACTGGAAGCAGTTTAGATGTCTCACAAGCACCTTAAACTTAACACATTCAAGAGAGCTTTTGATTTTTATCACCAGTCAGAATCCTCTCCAGGTTTTCCCATCTCAGTAAAGGGCACACACTTCCATCCAAAATACGTCTTAAGCCCATCAACATCCCTCCACCTCCCAAAACTGAAAGCCACTGTCATCTCCTGCCTGGCCATCTGTATTACTGGTCTCCCTGTATCCACTCTAGCCACCTTCCAATACATTAATCTCTTAGCAGAGAGCCTTTAAAAATGTAAATCCAGAAGAGATGTCAGCATCATGGTGGAGTGAGTTCTCCTCTAAGACTCTCCCCACCTAAGATACAACAAAAAGGACATTCATATCCCAACAGAGGACATTCACACAACACAAAAGATGTCTGAGAGACCTGAGCAGCCTTACATCTGAAGATGGAGGTGTCAATATCCCCAGAGGAAGTGGAAGGAGGTTAAGGAGAACTCCCCTGCATCTCCAATGGCAGTGACCACGGGACTGGGGCCACGTGGCTCTCAGAGAGAGAGGGGGGATGGATGGCCCTCCGTGGGAAAACTGTCACTCTCCAAGTTCCCTCACAGCCCATGGGAAACTCCCACACAGAGGGGACTGAACCCTTGCAGGGTGTCTTCATCAAGCTGGCACCCTGGAGAGCAGACAGCAAGAGAAGAGTGAAAAGCCCCAGGGGAACGGGCAGGCAAAAGAAAGTGCCCCTCCCCCCGCCTGGCACTTCAGCTCAGCCCATCAGCCAGAGCGCCCATAGATAGCAGTGGGCTCAGAATACACAGCTCTAGACCCCCACCCAGTGGTGGCAGGTGGAGGCTGCCAACAGATATTATCAATATGAGGAAAAACAAACCCACACCGTTAAACGGTATGCAAAAATATATTAAATCTCCAGACCAGAAGGAAAATGACAACCACCCAGAAATCAATCCTGAAAGCACAGAAATTTATAATCTAAACAACAGAAAATTCAAAATAGCTATCATAAAAAAAGTCAACAAGTTCTGAAAAAATACAGATAGTGCAATGAAATCAGGCACTTCTTCACAAGACATTGAAACTATAAAGAAAAAGCAATCTGAAATGTTGGAGACGAAAAACACAATGGAGGAGATAAAGAAAAATCTGGAATCTTTAAAGAGCAGTGCTGACAATATGGAGAAAAGAATGATCATTGAGGGTAGGAATGCGTAAATGCTCCAGATGGAGGAGGAGAGAGAACTAAGACTAAAAAGAAATGAAGAAATTCTCTGAGAGTTATCCAATTCAATTAGGAAATGCAACCATAAGGATTATAGGTACTTCAGAGGGAGAAGAGACGGAAAAAGGAGCAGAGAGCTTGTTCAAAGAAATAATAACTGAGAACTTCCTAAACCTGGGGAAGGAGTTGGAAACATAAGTGAATGAAGTCAATAGATCTCCTAACTACATCAACATAAAAAGACCTTCTCCAATGCATACAGTAGTAAAGCTGGCAAACGTCAATGACAAAGAAAAGATATTAAGGGCAGTAAGACAAAAAAATAATAATAATAACGTACAAAGGAATCTCTATCAGGTTCTGAGGAGATTTCTCAGCAGAAACCTTACAGGCTAGGAGAGAGTAGAACAATATATTCAAAATTATGAAAGACAAAAACTTTCAGCCAAGCATACTCTATCCAGTGAAAATATCCTTCAGATATGATGGAGAAATAAAAACTTTCCTAGATAAACAAAAGCTAAGGGGTTCATTGCCACAAGACCCCATCTACAAGAAATGCTCAAGAAGGCCCTCATGCCTGGAAAAAAAATAAATAAAGGGGCTACAAAGCCTTCATCAAGGAGAAAAATAGGTAGACAAAATCAGAAAAATTGCAGCTCTCTGTCAGAATAGGTTAGCAAACACTAATTATAACATCAAAGATAAAGGGAAGGAAAACATCAAAAATAAATATAACTTCATCACTTCAACCACAAACACACAATACAAGATGGAATAAGTTGTGACAATAATAACTTAGAAGGGGAAGAGGAAAAGGATGGAAGTGACAGTCTAAGGAAATAAAAGGCCATCAGAAAATGGACTATCTCACCTATGAGAGTTTTTATACAAACCTCATGGTAACCACTAAACAAATAATCAGAACAGAGACACATATGATAAATAAAGAGAAAACTAAGAAAACCATGACACAGAAAACCAAACTGAATTGGTAGTCTGAAACACATGGGATGAGAAACAAAGGAAATCCAGAAGAATCAGAAAATGAGTGATAAAATAGCAACATAAAGCCCTCATATATCAATAATCACTCTAAATGTAAATGGATTGAATTTTCCAATCAAAGGACATGGAGTGGCAGGATGGATTAAAAAACAAGACCCAACAGTATGCTGCCTCCAGGAAACACATCTCAGCTCTAAAGACAAACACAGGATCAGAATGAAAGGATGGAAGACAATACTCCAGGCTAACGACAAACAAAAGAAAGCAGGTGTTACCATACTTATATCAGATGAAGTAGACTTCAAGATAAAACAGGTAATGAGAAACAAAGAGGAGCAATATATAATGATAAAAGGGACACTCCACCAAGAAGACATATCACTGATCAATATATATGCACCCAACACAGGAGCACCAAAGTACATAAAGCAACTATTAACAAACCTAAAAGGAGACATTAACAACAACACAGTAATAGTAGGGGACTTTAACACCCCACTTACATCAATGGATAGATCATCCAGACAGAAAGTCAATAAGGAAAGAGCAGACTTAAAGAAAAACTAGACAAGATGCACTTAATAGATATATAGAGAGCACTCCATCCAAACACAGTAGATTACACATTCTTCTCAAGAATGCAAGGGACATTCTCAAGGACAGACCATATGTTGGGAAACAAGGCAAGCCTCTATAAATTTAAGAAGATTGAAAACATAACAAGCATCTTTTCTGACCATAATGCTATGAAACTAGAAATCAACTACAAGAAAAAACTGGGAAAGTGACAAAGATATAGAGACTAAACAATATGCTACTGAACAACCCATGTATCATTGAAGAAATTAAAGGAGAAATCAAAAAATATCTGGAGACAAATGAATATGAAAATACACCATACCAACTCATATGGGGTATAGCAAAAGCGGTCCTGAGAGGGAAATTCATAGCAATACAGGCCCACCTTAACAAATAAGAAAAATCCCAAATAAGCAATCTTAAACTACACCTAACAGAACTAGAAAAAGGACAAACAAAGCCCACAGTCAGCAGAAGGAGGGAAATAATAAAAATTAGAGCAGAAATAAATGAAATTGAAACCAAAAAAACAGTAGAAAGGATCAATGAAACAAAAAACTGGTTCTTTGAGATGATAAACAAAATTGACAAACCCTTAGCCAGACTTACTAAGAAAAAAGAGAGAAGGCTCAAATAAATACAATTAGAAATGGAAGAGGAGAAATTACAATGGATACCACAAAATACTATAGGCCAACAAATTGGACAATCTAGAAGAAATGGATAAATTCTTAGACTCATACAACCTCCCCAAACTGAATAAAAAAGAACGGGAGAATCTGAATAGACCAATCACAAGTAAAGAGATTGAAACAGTAATCAAAAACCTTCCAAAAAATGAAAGGCCAGGACTAGATGGCTTCTGTGGAGAATTTTACCAAACATTTAAAGAAGATTTAATACCTAAACTTCTCAAACTATTCCAAAAAATAGAAGAAGATGAGACACTTTCTAACACATCCTATGAGGTCAACATCACCCTAATACCAAAGCCAGACAAAGACAATACAACGAAGGAAAATTACAGGCCAATATCGCTAATGAACACAGATGCAAAAATCCTCAACAAAATATTGGCAAACCGAATACAGCAATACATTAAAAAGATCATACACCATGATCAAGTGGGATGTATACCAGGTACACAGGGATGGTTCAACATCCACAAATCAATGTGATACACCACATTAACAAAACGAGGACTAAAAACCACATGATTATCTCAATAGATGCAGAGAAAGCATTTGACAAGATCCAACATCCATTTATGATAAAA